CCCCTTTTTACACGGAACCAGCACAAGCTGCATCCCCTCTTCCACAAAACCACCCCGTGCTGAGGGGGGGCTGGGTGAAAACCCAGCAGCCAAGAAGTGCTGGCGCCCAGTTCATCTGCTCCTCGTGTCACTGGGGTGCCACAGCAGATGGGCAAAAAGCGTTGGACCTCTTGGGGTGGGAGCTGGGTCAGAAGTTTCTCATCTTCTGACTCTTGGCTCCACCCAGCAGCAGAGATTTTGCCCTGGGAGAGGTGAGAGGGGCCATACCTGGAATCACAGGCCATGGGAGTGAAGTCCAACTTGTGCTTTGTCTGAAACATCAACGTCTTGGTCCGAAGCTCCAGGATGGAGAGAGGCTGGAGGAGAGTGGCGATGGCAAAGAGAGCAAGGGGGGACCTCCCTGATGCCACCTTCTGCTGCCCGAGGAGGCATTTCAAGCGCCCACGGAGATTCAAGGCCTTAGAGGGAGGAGAAAACGTGGCTCTGAAGTTAAGAAGGTGAGAAGAAATGGGTCTCTCCCTGCTGCTACGGGACACAAGTGTCCTCGAGGATCAGATGGGTGCCCTACCAGAAATCCTGAGGAGCTCTCCAGCAAGCAGCGGAAGCGGCAGGTGAAGCTCCTCTCCATGGAGGAGGTCTTCTCGGGGTGGAGGTGCTGGGGTGCAGCACTGCAGCCAGCCAGCAGCGCCTGGGTGGTGGGAAAGGCTGGGAAAGCAAAGGAAAACATCAAGCCAAAGGGTGGGGAGGCACTGGAATAGGTTGTCCACCCAAAAGCTGTGGATGACCCATCCCTGGAAGTGTTCAAGGTTGGGTTGGATGAGGCATTGAGCAACCTGGTCTAGTGGGAGGTGTCTTTTCCCATGACAAGGGGTTGGGACTAGATGATTTCTAAGGTGCCTTCTCAACCCAAACCATCCTGTGATTCCGTGAGAAGATTTCCAAGCTGTGCCCCTTGAGCTCCTGGCCTTGCAAAACCTGCTCCTGGTGGAGGCTTTGCTGCTCTCATGAACTCATGATCTTCACGAGATGGGCCATGGGAAATTACCAGTTCATGAGAGTTTCTGGTCCCTTGGCCTCTTGGGAGCAAGATAACAAGCCAACCCCACTGACATAAAGAGGATTTCAAACACTGAAAAGCAAGAAGGTTTGGGAGAAGTGGTTTAGACTAGATCTAAGGATGAAATCCTTTACACTGAGAGCAGCGAGACACCAACCCAGGTTGCCCAAACTCTTCTATGACTCTATGAAGTTCCCACCCCTCCATCACAGCAGAAGACAGCCCGTCGTTGCTGTTCTGTTGGCTGCTTTTGGTGACACGTGGCCCTGCCAACCTCTGGGATGGTTGGAAGTCTTTATGGGATGCACCTCAGCCTAGGTGGCCACAAAGGCCACCAGGAGAGGTGGCCACGGTCCCCAGGGATCACCTTGGTGCTCGCCACGGGCAGCGTGAGGGGTGCTGCTGGGTGGAGGAGCCCTGTGGAGCTGCTGCTGGAAGGTGGCTCTGTCCTCTGCGTGGATCAGCTCGTAGACACTCTGGTAGATGAGATCTGACTGGAATGACACGAGGGGAGAAGAACGTTGGCTCCAGCTCACCCTGGCAGAGGTGGCTAGAGGAGGAGGTGGCAAGAGGCTGGCAATGGTGTCACTGTCACCACCGATGCTGTGGAGCAGGCACTGGGGAAGTCCCAGACTGGACTCAGCAGCAGATGGGAGCTGGATTCAGGAACACAGGGGTTGGGATCAAAGGCAAGATGGACAAAGTCCTCCTTGGACACCTCCCACTGAAGAGCCTTCACCCTGGTGACCCCCCAGCTTCACGCTGACCGTGCTGTGCATGGGATGGAACCCCTCAAACCCTCGTTGGTCAGTTTGGGGTCACCAGTTCTGGCCAGTTCTCCCTTCAGGTGCACCCCAACGTGGGGCACAAGGTTGAGCAGTGACCTCGGTCTGCTCAGGAGCAGGTCTAGGCAAGAGCCTTTCTGCACAGCCCGACCCTTGGAGGATCTCAGAGGCTTTTCCCCTCCTGGGTCCTCCACGTGCAGCGACCCAGTGTGAAGGAACAGCAAACACAACCAGGTCTGAGTGCCACGTGGAGAGCAAGGACTAGGTCCAGGCTGCTTTTTTTGGGGGAGAGTGGCTCAGGAAGGAGGAGAAGGGAGCAGAGAGGAGGGGGTCAGCTAAGCAGAGATCTCCAGCCTGGCAAGGCTGAGGTTCTCCTGGCATCACCCAGCCCTTCCACTGCCTCTAGCTCCTGATCCTTAACCCTGGGACATGCTGAGACTCCAGCTCCCTCCCCTGCCACGGGAGACCCAGATCTTTGGGAACCTGCAGCAGCACCCTTGGCCTGGCCCGTTTTAGCTTCTAGGATCTTCTCAGGACCAACCATAAAGCCTGGGGGTTACCAGAGAGGAACAGTTTGTGGGGTCCACGTTGCCTGTCTGAACAGCACTCAAAATCTCTCTCCTGTTGCCATCTCCAGCCCTCTGCCAAGAAGCAGTTTCATTTCTTCCACAGCATCGATGTAAATTCATTCCAAGGTAGGATCAAACCATTTTGACCCCAAAAACCCGTTGGAATCTGCAAACCTCTTTCCTTCAGGAGGCCACCAGGAAAGACAGACGTGTTTTGTCCATCAAAAAATGACCCAGGGGAGGTGGGAAGGGAGAAGAAAGACCTAGCGTGGGTCTCAGCACCTCCATCCCAGAGCTGGGCTGCAGCCAGGAGAAGAATGGTACCCACCTGATGAAAGCCCAGGTAGTCCTGCACCGTTGGGGAGATGTAGAAGATGTAGCCATCTCCAGTCACAGCGATGACAAAGCCATTGAGTGCCTAAAAACAGAAGCTGAACTCAAAATTCCCTCTAACTTCAACCCCGCTGCTGCAAGATGAACTTCTCCAGGTGTTTCTTCAGCATTTGGGGACAGGAAAGGGACCTTCTTCACCCACAAGAAACCCCACAAGAAAGCAAAGCTCCTTGTGACCACGCAAGGCTTCTCATCTTGGTTAGCTGGAGGTTTTGCTTCCAGTGTTAGATGACCCAAGAGGAACCAACCATCTTTTCTAGACCTATTGTTGAAGGCATCTCACTGCAGGGCAGCTCCTACAGCTGAAGGGACCAGCTAAGGAGAGGTTTCGTGGAGGACCTTGAGTTAGTTCCCTCCTCTCCAGCTGTGCCAGTTGGGTGTAGCTGTATTCTTTTGGAGCTCTGATCTTCTCCAACCAACCTGCCTACAGCTTCAACACCAATCAGGAACAGGAAGTGCAGAAGGACTGCCCTGAGCTCTCCAGGAGCCTGGTGGCTCCAGGAGGACCCTAGAATCAGTTGAAGCACAACGAAGCCTTCAGAGATAGTCACCAAACTGCACTCAGTCGCTGACCCAACCTATTTATCCACTCCTTCATTTTAAGGTTGACCTCCAAAGACACTTTGGGCCTCGCTCCTCAGCCTGGATTTTACAGCTGGGGGTTGTTCAAGGTTCTTTCTGTGTGTCTTCGTTCCCCAAAACCTTCAATTTCCCCCCAGAACCTCCCTTTTCATCCTTAGCACTGGAGGACATCGCTGTCCCTCGGGCTCCTGCTCTCATCTCCAAGGGTATGTGAACAACTCCATGAAGTTCAGACCAAATCCAGTCACCTCTATCACTCAAAGTTGGTAATGCAGCTCAAAAAAAACCACCCACCTTGAAAGCAAAAGAGGTGGAGAAACCTGGAAACTCAGATCTTTGATTTAGGAAGGCCTTGGTGTCACATCTGTGCCAGCTGAGGTGGCCTCCCCTGGTCCTTTCATCTTCGAGGAGGCAACAGCCTCCTGGGCTCATCTGTCTCTCATTTCCCAAGACCACAACCCTTTTCTCCTTTGATTTTGTTCTTGTTCCTGACAAACATCTCAGGAGGCCCCACTGCTCTTGAGGTGCTCATCAAGAACAAGCCCCATTGCCCCTCAAATTCATCCTGGCTTTGAGCTGCCACCACACTGGGAAAAATTATCCTCCTCTTGATGTTCTAGACAACAGAAGACCCCAAACACCCCTGCTAGAGCAGGATCACCAAGAGCAGGTAGACACGTCCATGGCCTACAGCTAAATCCACACCCAACTGGTAGCTCCATGCTTGAGAAAGACCAATCCCCCCCCAAATGAAACAAATTATTCCAAAACTATAAAAGATGATGCCTGGCGTGGAAGGGGCTGTGAATACCCACCAAAAAAAAAAAAGCCAAGATGAAGATCCAGAGAGAGCTGGTGACCATTTCAGGCTTCTTCCCCAAAAAAGGACAAGACCTGCCAGAAGGACAGACTCTCCCCACGCTGAGCTGCCCCTGGGGAGGACCATGAAGACCTGCAGCCCCCCACACCCACCCCTGAGGGGCTCTGGGTTTTCTGTACGTGACAGAATCTGATTAAAATGCTCTTGGAGGTGGGGGGAGGAAGCCACCAGGCAGCCCCCTTGGGGGTTTCTGTCACATTAACACCTCATAAGCTCTCCAGATGCCTTCAGCCACCCGAGGCTCAACAAATTGGCATCATATGGCCCAGCTCAAACCTCTCAGAGAAGCTCTTGGGAGCAGTTCCATCCTAAATCTGGGACAACTGCAGGCTCCCTCCTGGTTCTTGTGTCATTCCAGCTACTCCTCCATGACTATCACACTTGCAGACAGCTGAGACCCCTCCTGGGAGTGAAGCCCACGTGGGAATCTTCACGTGGTCCAAGTTTCATCTCCAAAAGTCCTGCTGAGCTCTCAGGAGTCACCTTCTCAGCAAAATGGCTGCACTGCAGGGTGACATTGGATGGTTGGGTGGATGGATGGATGGGTGGATGGATGGGTGGATGGGTGGATGGATGGATGGGTGGATGGATGGATGGATGGATGGATGGATGGATGGGTGGATGGGTGGATGGGTGGATGGATGGATGGATGGATGGATGGATGGATGGATGGATGGATGGATGGATGGATGGATGGATGGATGGATGGATGGATGGATGGATGGATGGATGGATGGATGGATGGATGGATGGATGGATGGATGGATGGATGGATGGATGGATGGATGGATGGATGGATGGATGGATGGATGGATGGATGGATGGATGGATGGATGGATGGATGGAATGGGTGGATGGATGGATGGACTGGTTCCACTGCAGGAGGCACCATTAACCACAGAGATCCCCAGGGGATGTCACAGGACCAAGAACCCCCCAGGGCAGCATCGTTCCCAGGAGATGGCAGGAAGAAGAAGAGGAGGAAAGCCTTCACTATGTAGACACTCAACAAGAAAGGCCAAAGGTGCTCTTGGAACTTAGTCTGGCTAGGGAGGGGAAAGAAAACAAGAAGAACCTCTTCAAATACATCAATGAGAAAAGGAAGAGTGAGGAAAAAGAGCTTCCAAACCTGCCTGGATGTGACCCTGAGCACCCTGCCCTAGGTGACCCTTCTCTGGCAAGGGGGTTGGATGAGATGCTCTCTAGAGGTCCCTCCTAACCTCTAATGTTCTATCATTCTGTGATCCCACTGATTCTGTCCACCACCCTCTCCTAGATCCCTTCTGTTCCTCCCCTGAGCACGGGCATCATCCCTGGTGCCCATCCCAAGCTGCTCAGAACCTTCAGCAATCCCAGCAAAGCAGCTCCTGGCCCACAGATGGGCCCACCCCCTCCATAGCTGCTGAAAGGTCCACGCCCAGCAGGCAAGGGAAGACCCCACATGATGAAATGATGGCACCATACCTGGAGCAGCAGCTCCCCCTCAGGAAGCAGCTCCCTGTTGTCCTGCAGGTCCCTCTGTCCATCCCCTCCTGGGGCTCTGGGCTGATCCACCACGCAGTCACCAACATCTGTGGCTGTGAGTGAGAGGACAAGGAATCAGCGTGGAAGGGGTGAGCTGGGAGCCTCTCCTTCCTCCTCCTCCTCCTCCTCCTCCTCCTCCTTCTCCTCCTCCTCCCGTGCACCCCACTACCCAATACACGTGGATGCAGCTGGAGAGGAAGATGAGACCAGTGGGAACTTCAGCAGAACCCCTTCGTAGAGCCATGTCCAACTTGCCCAATGCTTCCCCCAAGAGATTATTCCCCTGCCTGGTCCCATTTCTTGGAGACCTCACTTCTGCCAAGCTCTGAGGCAGAAGTGCAGAGGGGAGGTCGATGCTTTATGGGCTGCCCAGGTGAGGAAACATCACCCAACTCAACAAGAAGTCTTCAGGTTAGTGTCTGGTCGTGCTGGAGTTGGCTTCAAGCCACCTCAGTGCCACAATGTCCTCCCTGATGCCACAAAGACCTTCCCAAACCCTCTGAGATGCCATCAAAGTATTCATCAGTTTTTCTGCCCTGGCTGCGGGATGTCAAGGACCATGGGACAGACTCCAAACCAGTTGTTCAGAGAACAGGAATGAGGACAGTAGCTCCTGGGGATGTCCCCAGCACCACACTTCATCTGCTGGGGAATGATCCTTCCAAAACCTCCCTTCAACCTCAGCTTCCAACAGGAGAACCATTTTCAAGGTGTGTTTTTGGCACCGACTCGACCAAAAAGCTGCAGGAAAACCTCAAAGCAACCTCCACGTAGGAACCACCCCACCTCTACCACCACCAGGAGCTCCCTCAGCACCCCGAGGTCAGACAGACCCTGTGCACAGCCCCATCCTGGTAGAACATCCCCCCAGCTGAGCCCTGGGCTTCTGTTCTGCTGGGGCTGCATGACCTTGGCTGGAACCAAAGGTCTTCTGAATTTAGGAGAGTGGTAGGAAGGGAGGAAACCACCTCAAGTGTGACCACACATTTAATTCTGCCCACAGCAGAAGCTCTCACCTCACCCCTGAAAGGTTTTAAAGGCTTGTGGGAGGTGTTTTTTCCCAGTAGCACCTAGTCTAAAGGTCAAATAATGCCAAGCTGAGAAGAAGTCCCATCTGAAACTCCTTCTAGGAGACGTTTTGCTTTGCCTCAAACCAGCAAGATGCCCAAATGCCAGTTTTTGTCTTAAAAGCTCATCTCTCTTCACCTGTGGAGCCTGAGGGATGAGAAGGACCCACCCGTGCAGCCTTTCAGATGGTTCCAGGTCCATCAGCTGAAGCTCTTGCACTAGGTCATCCTGAGGAACCACAAGGATGGAGTCACAGAGGCTTGCACAGAAGTGGAGGAGATGCTCTGAGGCCACGATGCAGAATTGTCACCGACAGAACTGGGCTACTTCAGCCTGCCCCAAACCTTGAGGGCTCCGTGGACATGCTCAGGCATCACCCCTTGTCCTGTCCCAACAGGCCCTAATCCAAGATGGTGCCCATCTCTCTGATGGGTCCTGTGAAGACCTGGAAGGCCACCTTCTTTTCTCCAAGGTGCCCCCAGCCCAACTCTTTCCTGCTGGGCTCCCAGCAGAGGGGTTCCCCCCTCGGGGCATTGTTGGGGCTCCTCTGGCCCCTCTCCAGCAGCTCCCTGGCTCTGCTGTGCTGAGGACTCCAGAGCTGCCCCAGCACTGCAGGGGGGGTCTCCCCAGAAGGGGGCAGAGGGGCAGGATCTTCTGGGGGGGCAACCCAGGCTGGGGGAGCTCCTGGCCAGCTCCTCACCCTCAGCACCCCCTAGGGCCTTCTCCTCAGGGCTGCTCTCAATCTCTTTATACCCCAACCCAGGGCCAAGACCTTGCCCTTGGCTTTGCTGAACCTCTTGAGGTTCACACAGACCCAATTCTCCAGCCTGTCCAGGTCCTTCTGGATGGATTCTCTGCGTAGACTCTTCCCAAATCAGCAAGAGGTGGATGAGCCAAGCCAGGGGATGTGAGACCTCTGGGAAAGGTTGAGAAAGATGAGGTTCAACAGCAGGAAAATAGTCACTGTGCTCAGTTTGCTCATCAGCCAAGGAAAGACACCTCCCCAGGAGCTTCAAAAGCCTCGGTGGATTGCCAAGAGTTCCCCATGGGAGAACATCCAAAGCCCATCTGGAGCAAGGGCATGACTTCAATTTGCCCACCACGGGGTGGAATAGTTTCCAAATGAAACATCAGCTCTTCAAGTTTGAATTCTTTGGAAAAGCAACAAAGCTCTTCCAAAACAAAGCTCCAAAAAAGGGCAGAGAGTGTTTTGAGAAGATGCAGGGCCTGAGCTGCAGCTCCCTCCCAGGCTTCACCAGCAAGATTGTTTCTTCCAACTCTCCCACCCATCTTAGCAAGAGGCTTTTAAAGTCCCACCAGAGATGTTCACTTGTTCTCAAACGCCAAGTGGTCCTTTTCTGCACAGCTGAGCCAGAAAATCCTGCAGAATCCATCTCCCCTGGGACACGTGGTGATGACCTGGCTTGGGGAGAAGGTCTGGAGCACAGAGAGAGGGGAGGAAGCCCAAAGAGATGGTGTCTGCAAACTGCTTTGCCATCAAACATCACTGCAACGAAGCTGCAAGGTCCCAACTGGTGCTTTTAAGTACTGGTGGTGTGTAGGAGCTGTTGTTCACCTCTAGCATGGTTCTCACCATCCACAGCTGGAGGTCAAGGAGATATTGAGGCCAAACCTGTGGCTTTCTCCCACCAAAATAACCCAGGAATGTGTGACATCAACTCCCCTTTTGTCATGACTTCAACACCTCTGTCCCAGCCTTGTTCTTCCATGGGGCTTCTCTGCTTCCAGAGGCAGCCACCCTCCTGGAGATGGCCAGTGGAGAGTGAGCATCCCTCAGGCAGGCAGGGCTGAAGCTGCTGCCAGAAGCCACCACTGTTCCTCAGTGGTCTAAATGACCCAGAAACCCTCTGTGCTCCTTTGCAGGTGGTGACCCCCTCGGTGTTCAAACATGGAACAACTGGATGTCTTCCTCCACCCACAAAGTCAGCAGCAAAGTCAAGCAGCAGAGTCACAGGACTTCTGAATTCACCCTCACTCAACCTGCCAAGGACCAGAAGGGTTGGGAGCAACCCCAAGAGATGCCTGAACACGTCCAAGTAGAGGATTCCAGCCCCACGTAACCACCAGGGGCACAAAGTTTAATCCCAGTCACATTTTTGGACTTGGAAAAGGAAAAAAAACATGATAATTCTGAATGAATCTGGACGTGTCCTGTAGACCCCCAAGAACATCCCGTTGGGTTGGTTTTCTTGCCTCCAGAAGGAGGTTTCTGAGCCCTGCAGTGGGGAGGAAAGACCTCCAGCATGAGAAGGGCAGAAAAAGAAGCCAAGCAATGGAATCTCTTCACTTTTGGCTCATCCCTTTCATGAAGAAAAACCCAGAGGTTGAAATGTTGCCTCTGGTGGGGTTTTGTCACTGAAAAAAAACCCCCAGAGCTGTTGGTAAAAATTCCTGGACTCAGTTCTGCTGCCCTGGATTGAGTTCCACTGGTGGGAGATGACAGACTTGACCCATGGCAAACATTTCTCTTTGAACAAGCTCCAGAGATGCTTGGCATGAAGAAACCAGGAGCTCTCCCAGCAACACCAAGGCACTCCCAACCATTTTCCTCTTGGAGCCCAGCCCAAACCCCATCAAATGAGCACCAACCTTGGCCTCAGCTCTTCATGGAAGGCATCGTGCCAAGCAGAGCGGCCTCACGCCACCCAAGAACAACAGGCAAGTGCCAAACCCACAGATGATAACCCTACCAGGAGTCATCATCACGTGGCTGAGGAGAGGAGAAACGCCCAGGGGAGTGCTGGCAGCTCCAAAGTCCATGTCAACCACCCCAACCTCCTCCTGCTGCAAGAGCTCCTGGGTGATCCTGCAGGTTCTTGGCCAGGGAGGGATTTAAGCTTGACTTCTTTCAACTCATCAGTTACTCCAGGTCCAGACCCTTGCAGCTCTGCCCCGTGGCAACAGCAAACTGGTCCCTGATGGACCAAACTGGTCCTCCCTGGGGGTCTTTAAGGCCAGGCTGGAGGAGGCTCTGGGCAGCCTGATCTAGTGGGAGGTGTCCCTGCTCATGGCAGAGGGGTTGGAACTGGGGGATCCTTGGGGTCCCTTCCAGCCCTGACAGATTCTGATCTGTTTTAGCAGAGGACTTTAGAGCCCTAATGGCTCAAGGGTTGGACTTGATGATCTTGAAGGTCCCTTCCAGCCTAAAGGATTCTATGATTCTAAGTGCTTGGGCAGGTCTAGGGCTTGCTCTGGAGGTGGTGGTCGTGGCTGGAAGGTGGCAGCCAGGACCACCTGGCCCTAGCACTAAGATGAAGTCTCACCCAGCACAAACCAAGCAGGAGATTCCATCGTGGCTGGCTGGAAAGGTGCCCATGGGAAAGGCTCCACCCTGTGAGACCTTCCCCAAGTTCATCCAAAATCTGTTGCAAGCATGAGGAAAGATGTTCTAAAATCCAGAACACACCAGCCTGGGTGTTAGCTCGAGCTCTGCCAACCTCCAGAGCATGGTCTTGTCTCAGGAGAGGGTCTTCCATGGCTTCTCTCTCCACCAGACCTCACCACCTGGGAGACCTCCACCTAGGAAGAGGACATGGCAGCCCTAAGAACATCTCCTCCACCTTGCAGAGCATTCAGAGTCCCATTTTCTCAGCAGAGCCACACGTGCAGCCCCCAGCATCTGCTTCTTTTGTTGCACAGACCCTAGGGCATGAACTCCAGCTCAGCTCTCCAGCTTTATGGAGGTCTTCCAAGCCCCTCAGCACTAAAAACCATCCGAGTCTTCCTGAGAGCTCGTTGCTTGCAGCAAGTGGAGCTCCTGCCCAAAGTTTGGCCAACTCAAGTGCCAGTGAAGAGTCTCTGATCCCTCAGGCAGGTGTTGCACGCTCTTCAGGCCACTGCAGTCCTCTCCAGATGGAGAGGGAAGTGTGTGGGTTCCTCCAACACCCCCAAGAAGAAAACTCCTGATGCCCCATCACCTCTACAGGGTCCTCCTGACACAGCTTTCCACATCATGAAAAGCCACATCAAGGGCAACAGGAGGAAATACATGATGTAGATGTGCTAGAGAGGACCAGAGGTTGAGAAGAAGCATTGTCCATCTTATCTCTTACCAGTCTTTCCCCAAATGTTTGAAATTAAAACTCAAAAAAAGGCCAAGGAGCCCAACAACACCAACCAACCAACCTCTGGAGATCATCTCATCCCACCCCCCTGCTCCAGCAGCTCACCCAGGGTCACAGCCAGGAGGGTTTGGGATCTCTCCAGAGCAGGAGACTCCACAGCCTCTCTGGGCAGCTGCTCCAGGCTCTGCACCCTCACCCCAAAGAAGTTTCTCCTCCTGCTCAGGTGGCACCTCCTGGGTTCCAGTTGGTGCCCGTTGCCCCTTGTCCTGTCCCTTAGGGCCAGCAGGTCTGGACACCCCAGTTAGCTCAGTTGGTCTCATCCTTGCAGCATTTTTCTGCCCCATAAAGGCAGCACCACTGCAGGGGACGTGTACAAGAGACTTCTCCTCAAACCCAAGGTCTGCAGAAAAGCCTTGGAGTCCCAGCACAAGCCTTTTCACCAGGAGGAACCATCTCAGATACATCAACAGCTGCTGAAGACAATCGCTGCCGTGACCTGGGAGCAGGAGGAAGGAGCTACACATCCATGGGAGGAAAAAAAACCCACTCCCAAAAGCCCCTGGTGCCAAGAGGAGAAGCTGAAGAGCAGCAAAATCCAGCCACAATCCTCCTCCAGCCCGTGGTCGGTGCTTTGTGTCCATCTCTCTGCAGCAGCAGGGCTGTGGAGAGGCAAACAGGAGGAGATGGCTTTTCCAAGCCTATCAGCTCAACCCTCCATCCCATAAAACCAAACTGAGGTCATTGGGGAGGAGGCATCACCCTCCATCTCCTCAAAAGGCTCATTAGAGAAGGATGATAGACCCACCACAGCTGAGCCCAGCAGGACCAGGGGGGGCACGTGCAGCAGCAAGCCACCGACAAGAGGAGGAACCTCCCCCCTCCTAAACAAAGGAAGAGGAGAAAAAAGGAGCTTCTCAGCAAGACGTGTCACTAGACCTACTGCTCCCTTCTTCACCACGGCCTGGTGGGTATCAAGGAAGGGGTCGTGGAGCTGCTGATGGTGGAGAAACTTGGCAGGAGGTCTCAGCTGCTGGGCAGGCACCCGAAGTTGTTCATCTCCCCCCAGTTTCTCTGCCTCCCAAAGGGCTGGAGCCAAGGTCCTCTGCTCCAAGCACCCCCACAACCTCTTCTGCTGAACTAGGTGCTTTCACTTCCCCAAGGATGTTGCTTTTGGGGGACACCAAGTGCTCAGAACTGACTGAAGAGGATTAGATTTGGGTGGGAAGCATCCCAAAATGAAGATATGGGATATATGGATAAAATGTGGGTCGTGGCAGCAAAAAAAGACCCAAGAGGTAGATGTCCCATGAGCAGAACACCTCCCAGCAACCATTGCTAGCTCCTTCATGTTTCTGGAGAGGTGGCAGCTCCCTCCCCAGCCTTCTGGGGCATTTTCAAGCCAACATCTCAGCTAAAAGTTCATCCCTGGATGCATCAACACACAAGGGGCTGATACCACAACTCATAGAGTCACAGAATCCTTTAGGTTGGAAGACACCTCCAAGATCAAGTCCAACCCTCAAGCCAACACTAAGTCCTCTGCAGAAACAGAATCAGGATCTGTCAGGGTTGGAAGGAACCCCAAGAATCCCCCAATTCCAACCCCTCTGCCATGCTCATCATCACTTCCCTTCAGGAGAAGCCACTTTCCACCCCCAAGCCAACACGGCGTGGGGTGGGATGGGAGCTGCACAGCCAGGATTGACCCTAGGGACTTCTTCCACCCTTCACCAGGCAGAAACTCACCCATCAAGTAGCTCTTCACCTTCAGGTACCCCACAGCCAACCGTAGGACGGAGAGTTTGTCCAGCCTGGTGAGGACCTCTTCAGGGAAGGGCAGCAAACCCGTCAGCTTGCCCAGCTCCTGGTTGAGCCGGTCGCGGTGTCGCTTGGAGGGGTTGGACTTCACGCCCTCAGGGGGTGGTGGTTTGGGGCTGGAAGAAGAAAAGAAGAGTTTAACCAACCTAGGCCTACCCAACAAGCTCTTTCCAAAGCCAGCGTTGACTTCCCCGCAACCACAACACCAATGGATGGAGAAGACGTGGTCATCATCCAGTTGGAGTGGGAGGAGATCCTTAGGTGGGCACCTTAAAGCTCAGCTGGATACTTCAACCTTCCTCCCACCCTTCCTCCCACCCCTGAGCCCTGGTGGGGAAAGGGACACCAACAAGGCAAAGCCCTACAAGCCACCAGAGTACTTCTTGGAGGTTCTTTCTCCTCCTCCTCCTCCCATCCCCTTCCGAGGCAGCAGGTCTCTCCCTGGCCACGCTCCACAGGCTCACACCAGCTCCTCACCATCAAGGTGCCACCTTGAGCTGCTCAGAAGAATGATAGGAGGTTTTCTGCCTGCCCAGGACCGAGCAGCTCTTGGGGGTTGGACAAGATGACCTCTGGAGGTCCCTTCCAGCCCAAACGTTCTATGATTCTATGCTAACAAAGATCAAGAATGCAGGAAGGCTCCAAAAGAGATGTTTTCTTGCAATTTATTCCAATTAGCTCTACTTTGAAGTTTCTTCTGGTTGCTTTCATTCCAAACATCACAAAGAGGAGCAGATGTGAGAGTTAAAGACAGGACTTGGACAAAGAGACCCTACAGCCACAACGTGAAGAGGTTAATTAACAACTTTAATGTATCTTGGAGCTCATTGTGTCTCTTCTGGGCTTTAAGGCCACTTTGGGTTTTCTAGCTTGAAGAAAAACCCTTCAGACCCTCCCACCTCATTTCACCCTTGAAGATGCGACTCATCTTGATGGAATTTGTCTAACCAGCATCTCCTCCTCTGCAGGCATCCTCCAGTAGCTTCAGATAAGAGGATCTGCCAGCCTTGAGCAGCAATTTCAGCTCTCCCTTCTTCCACCCACCCCAAATCTCATCTGACACGAGAGGAAATGAGCAAAAACTGTGTCTGGTTGGGGCCTCCTGAGATCAACAGAGACAAGGAGCTACTGGAGAAGGTCCAATGGAGGCTACCAAGAGGCTGAGGGGTCTGGAGCATCTCTGGGATGAGGAAAGGCTGAGAGCCCTGGGGCTGTGGAGCTGGAGAAGACTCAGAGGGGATCTGATCAATGTTCATCAATAATTAAAGGGTGAAGGTCAAGAGGCTGGGGCCAGACTCTGGTCAGTGGTGCCCAGGGACAGGACAAGGGGCAACGGGCACCAACTGGAACCCAGGAGGTGCCACCTGAGCAGAAAATCATCTCCTGTGAGGGTCCTGAGCCTGGACCAAGGCAAGCTGCTGAGGACC